CGTGTTGAAAGCTGCGAGGACAGAGTTATTGGACGTGAATCAACACGATTCACTACAATCTTGCACGGATAAGCCCAAATCAGATCCTGTTTCGAATGACGTGTTATTGCTGTTGCTTGTACCATCCCCTTGGTGATCGTCACTTAACGTCACAGAGAGATGCATCGCAATGGCATTGAAATTCGTCCACAGTGTAGCAATTGCTGAGACATAGTAAGGGTTATTAACTAGTTTCGATTATGTAATATTGGCATATCCAGTGCTGCTGTGGTAACAGTTACTCAAGGTGCGTTGTTTTCCCTCCTTCCTGCTGTGCTCTTCCTTCAGTAGATTCCCAAAATGCCACTTTGCTGTTTTAGGCGACATATTCAGCCTGGAGATCCTTATGAGCAACTGCCTTGGCGCAGTAGCGGTACTCGAGATCTGGCAGTTCCGATTGGATACGGAGGAGAATCTGCTGCGTTGTGGGGGTCTTCCTTGCTCCAAGGTCGTTGCCAACCACTCGGGCCTGCAACCGGTCATCTCGTCTCTTCGACCGCCTCAAAAGGAGGGCTCTGCGCAGGCCACGAAGAACCCGCCTGCCACTGCGCGCTCCAAATGCTTTGCCGTCGAGGATGTTCGACGCTCTCGGCTGTTCGAGCGACTTGGCACCCTGTTGAAAAGCCTCGTGGTCACCACCAGACTACTTCCTGGTAGCATCTCGTGTCAAAAATTCCTTACTTTGCATTTCCAGTGGTTAATCACTGCGTGTGTCAATGTTGTTTCCTAGTGTTTCATGGTGTGAGGTTCTAGGCGAGAAGTTCAGAGGTGCAAACTGTGTCGATTAACTTCTCACTAAGCTACTCTTGTCGGGATGTGGTGGTTTTAACTCGCGCGAAGCCATTGGATCGAGGGCTTTTCGAGTTTCCATTCGGACTGACACTCGACCAATATTTATTGTTGTTCGAATTGATCCATTTAAGTGTATTCATTTTTGAACCACGAGCACTCTTAGCCTACAGCGTATCCCGAGGGAAGAAACCTTGGGCCGATTCGGAGGCGGCAACGGCGGGAGAAGAGGTGGCGGACCCAGAGGAGACTGAAATTCAGATGTGCTACACGTTGCGACGGGGCGAGGTGTCGTTCGATCGATTGGGCAGTGAAGACGGCGTCATTTGTCGTCAGGTGGGCCACCTCTTCCCCGGTCTCGCAGTCCTGCCCACTCCCTCATCTGCCGCCGCCGCCACCACCACCGCCAACACGCCGGCGCCGCAGCCCGTACCGGTCTTCCTCAACGTCTCCGTCAGGTATCGCAGTCAGCTCAACGACATGAACGTCCTACAACAGTGTCTGGTGTGTCCCTCGTCTACCTCCCCTTAAATTTATTTAGTTTCACTTGCAAATTTAGAGGTTGATTCTACTGAAACTCTTATTTTCAGGAGGTGCCGCAACAAGGAGGTATCATTGACGAAAAAGCTCCACGTTCCAGAAGACCGTAAGCGAGATTTAATAAATCTTCATTTTATAAGAATGTGTATTATTGTTGATGGTTTCACTGAATAAAACTACTTTCCTAGGTGCATTAGACCGGCTTTTGCTGCGACCACACCAGAGGATGATGATGATGATCTTGACGTCGACGACGAGGCTAAGGTGGCATTCGCCTACAGATTAGCCAACGATGACTTACCGGAGCAGGTAGGGTGGAATACGCTTTTTTGCCTGAGCAATTGAAGTGTTGCTTGTGACTTTCCGTGGTTTCATTCCCTACTGCAGGACGAGGATGAGGAGGAGACAGATCCTTACGCCTTCCAGACCGAGGAAGACGCGACCTGCGAGGAGAACGGCTGCGAGATCGATGACCTGGAGGGTCAAATGTCACGCACCTTCGTGTCCTGCAACTCCGGCGATGAGGAAACCGAGGAGATACGCGGTTTCCCGCTCCAACTACCCTTCAGCACCGTGGGCATCAGTGGAGGCGGTGCGCGACTAGCGCATCTGGTCGCCGAACTCCGAACCAAGACCGATCTCGATTTGTTTCGAGTTCCTGGCGCAGCCACCTCCATGGTCACCACCACAGCCTCCGTGTTTGACGCCAACGCCCTGGGCGACGAGCTGGCGCGGCATGAACAGCTCCTGAAGGAGTTCGACGACTTCTTGACGGACTTCACTAGCGCGCCCTCACCTGTGACCGCCAATGAGGCCTATCATTAACTTTGAAACCCCTCCCCCACTGCTACCAGTGTGCTTTAACCTCCTGCATCGCTGTCTTCTAACCTATTAACTGTAAAAGATCTATTTGTTGACGCCACGCACTCTCATCTTAGCGTTATTTTAAAGGCCTTAGGACACCACCGAGTTAACCGCCATGTTGGTGACGCTGTCTGGACATTCGGTGTCTGCAAATGGACACGTGCACCACTGTCTAGTCCGGAGTCTCCCTAATGTTCGTTTTTTGATTTGTGTAGGCGTCAGCTGCAAACTATGTTACCCTGTCATCTCACTTGCGTGGTTGTTGTGAGCACATGTGAAAAAAATGTGAGGCAAATGCCTCTCTACCGGGACTTCTGGTTCGATTCGAAATCAAAGAAAAACCAAGTGGTGGCAAGACTATTGCCATCAAAGACTATGTCAGGGCCTGTGATCTGAGCATACGAAGCCTAGCAAGCAGTTGTGATATGCATCGAAGAACATATGCAAATGAGTAGAGGTTAAAGTCATAAAAACAATGGTCACACTCAGAGCCAAAAATTTCTCTGTAACATTTACAAACATGCTAATAAAAGGATCTTTGTTTCGTAGAAAAAGTGAATAAAGAATTATACATGGCAGGCTGGAAAGGAGTTGAGGTAGTCCGATCGAACGGAGCTCAGCTGGTCCACGGAGAGGCCACGCCGAGTTGGCACGAGGTTCGGCAAACCGGTTGTCTGCAGGCGAGCGGATTGGAAAACGTGCTTTCGAGGATCGAAGAACTTCATCGGGCAGGGCTCAGGTAGGATTTCCTGGGAAATAATGAGAATTGGTCAAGTTGCGACAACGAGACTTCGACAGAATAGCCTCTAGAATGAGGTGTTAAGTCCCACGCGAGTTTGCGTGAAATTTAGTTAAACTGGCTACTATTTCTAACGGCACACGAATGACGCCACGGTTGGTTATGCTGGAATTGCTCTATTTGGTCGCGATTAGTCACAAATCCACTAAGCAAGCTGCTAGCTGTCAACAACTGCTTACCGGTTTTGGAGGTTTTTTTAGCATCTCAGCGAGTAGAAGCTTTCGTCTGCGCGCGATTTTAGCCTTCTCCTCCTTGACTATTTCCGATTCGGATACAGAGATTTCCAGCAGGTCGACGTACACGCGATCTGAGAGGTTGTAGTTTACGCACACAGGTATGTTGCTTACAGAGGGCCGCGGGATGCGATTTGTGGTGTTTTGTCGGTTTTTGTCCTGTCTCTCATTAGCAGTCGGGATAGACTGTGATCTGAAGGGATCTGTAAGATGTTCAAGAGCCATTTGCTTGATTTTTGCATCTGGACCCTGAAATAGTGGTTAAAAATGAATGTGTTAACGAAGCCAAACAGAAACATTTCAGAGCATAAATATTATGTTCTACAAACTAAACGTGCTTTTTAACAAGTAGGTTTGCTAGAAAACGCTCTTGAATCGGTTTAAAAAGTAGCATACCTCGAAAAAGTGCTAAGATAATTGCAATACGTAAAGGTTTGAGTTGTTCCTCTGGCTTCACCACTTGTATGATCCCACCACCTCAAAGGTCAGCGCAAGGGGTCCTTTAACTTTGCTCAAGTGGTTTACTCTTATCGATGATGCCGAATGATAATTGAAACTTTAATAAGAATACATACAGAAATTGAGGCCTTGTGGACGCTTTCGGCAAGTTGAATAACTTCCTCCTGTAGACCCTTAACAGTGTTGATTTGCGGCGTGGTGAGTGAAAGGGCCTCGAAGCCACCATTTAGCTGGGGTTCGTCCACAACCGAGAGATCGAGTGAACTGGACGGAGTTATTGGCTGTAGAGGGGGCTGAGAGAGAGACTCAGGAAAAATTCTCATCACCTCCGAAAATGCCCTTCGTGGAACGGAATCTGGCACAGACTCTTTCTTACGGGAAGACAACGTCGTGTTAGAATCCAAGTCAAAGCGGACTTGTTTACACGTGTTGGGAAGTGGAAAGTCTCCTTTAAATGTAAAAAAGCCGTGTAACACAAATTATTTTCTATTAAACACATATTTAAGTTAAAGTTAAGGAGCCGTGACACTGCCATTTAAAAAAGGTGCTATGTCCATTTAGACCTTACAAAATAAGAATCTGCATGAGAATGAGATTTAACGACATTAATGTTAACTTGGGTTCGAAATACATCAAGTGAGTTAATAAACGTGTGGACCTTAAAGGCTTGCAAATTTGACAAAAAAGTGTCCATAATAAATGAGCTTTTGTACTAATTGAAGTTAAGATAAGCTAACCTTCTTCACATAACAGAGACGCATCTGAGAGTAAGTCCAGACTACTGACAACATTGATGCGGGGTCGGAGAGAATCTCCTTGACCGTCCACAGGAGGTTCTGTACGGCAAATACAGGAAGAAGTCGATAATTGTATCTACATCTAATACGAAGCATAAAACGAACCAACCTATTTTCTCCGAAAATCCCGTACTGTAAAATAACTTAATTAATCGAATCTCTTCACATTTACGACACAGAATAAATTAGATGACTTCAATAAATAATAATAACACAAAGGTCATGTGATGTACAGGTGCTTATATAAAATGCTGATTAATTACCTTGCATTTATGAGAAAAAGAATATATGCTGAATTTGCAGAATCGCAGATTTCGTGGGAACCAATAATCTGCATAGTGTCCACTTATTACTATGGTTACAGCAAATTAAACAACGTACTTAATTGCATTAAAAAATGCGTACCATATTGACTTATTGCATGTCAGTGTTTCTGGTGCCTTATTGTGTGTGTTTTATAATGAAACCATTGTATAGCTTTTATTAACAAAACCTGGCAACCTGTTCACCTTTTGTTTTAATCCGCACTTTGGTGCCTACGTCAGTTAAACGAGTTCGGTTGCACTCATGTCAGAAAAAATGTGAGCTTAATGGCTTTTAAATTTTTAGGCACTGTATTTTTAAGTGATCCCTTTTCATGAATGTGGAAATAATCTACGAGGACCTGCTAGCTCTGACTTGTTGACCAAAAACTAAATATGCTAAGAGGTAAATACTGGTGTCGCATTCGAAGTAAAACAACACACCCCCTAAACGATTAGGCGCTTCAAGTGCCACTCACCGACGCCCATGTGGCAGGTCCATCAAGGCACTTTTATTTTGGATTTTAGCTTCTAACTGTATGCCTCATCACTTGTCCCAACCATTGTCGTAATCATAGCTGCTATGCACTCGCTTTTCCGTGTCTTCCCTTTGAGCTAGTCAAGCACCATTTTACCTTAACGCACCTATTTCCGTCCTTCTGCTATCAAAAACAAAATAAGATGCAAAAACTCGTCATGAGCGCCGAAACCATGTTCAAGGTGCCTTCTCATTGCTTGTTCAGTTTTGATTACGGTTGTTGAATCAGTTCTTATTAATACGGCCAAACTTGCACCAATTTACTTCTACTACACCCACGCTTTTGTGCATAAGTACAAGCGAATGAGAATGGGAGGAAGGGGTGCACCTCATTTCCATCTAGCGATTTTCCACTAAAACAACTTGCAACTTTAGGATGGAGACGACCAAAGACGAGAAGATACTTAAGGTTGAGGCTTTCATAAACGAGAAGCTCCGAAAAGACCTCAGGTACCTCCCAAGTCCACTGTTGTAACCTCCGTCCCAGTATAGGCTAACACTCGAAGCGGGGGACGCCGTGTACGCCGAGATCTCCGAGTACCTGGAACTGCAGAACCTGTTGGAGAAGTTTGCCGAGATGGGCATCGAAGGCGACGAGGGCATGAACACGATGGTTGACATGGGCTGCAATTTCTACCTCAAGGCACACATGTAAGTCCGCATAGCCACAATCAGGGTTCACTGCGTTAAGACCCGACTTTAAGCGGATTTACGTGGACATAGGAATGGGCTTCCATGTGGAGATGACGCATTCCGAGGCGTTGGCGTTTATTAAGGAGAGGGTCGACTTGCTCAACGACAAGGCGGAGGTATTTCGGAAGAAATCGTTTGAAATTAAGGCACGGATTAAAGTCTGCCTAGAGGTATGTCAGATTTGGTCACTGCCAAACCCTCTCTTCTTTCTGCTAGGGTCTAAAAGAGCTCCAGGGCCTCGGCGTGGAAGAACGACCTGACTTTCGAGATGTCCTTGTGTGACGCAACTCCAGACACCAGAATCCACTGTGTATATATACATACAAGATATATATTTATATATTTGAGCCAGATTTTCTATCTAGAAAGTCAATACAAACGGTGTCTGTCTGTCGTTACAAAAACTAATCGTTTTAACCTAATCCGTTTCGCCATCGCCAATTTGCATCGAACGTAGTTCGTGCTGCCGAAGCGCGAGATTCTACAAGTAACAGGAAGAGGTGAGGATTCCTCAAACAGTGACCTGTGTTGGTAAAAGTCGGCGGAACTACCTGTTTTATGCGGGAGACGTGTTTCAGGGCCGAATTGCGAGAACTCATGGTTGGATTCGTGGCGGAGGGCTTCGGTAAACCGGGTGACTGAAATTGAAGGGCCAGAGACTGTAGTGGACTACTACAAGACAATCATTAGGTGGAGAAGTTGCTTGAAACAACTTGAGAAATTGGCGCATTACTGCAGGAAACGAATTGTACAACACAATAAATAAACAGTCACCTCAGGCTGCGCGTAGTCGGGATCAGTGATGGCGGAAAGGAAGTCAGAGGAAGGGTGTTTGGTCGCGACGGCCGGGGGAGCAAGCAGGCTGGACTCAGTTCTGATGACGCCGATGCGAGCGGTGTCTTCAGCTGCCTCGTTGGGCGGGGTCATCCAACCGAAATTGTTCCTCGTTTCCTGTGGTGTGTCGTCGTGAGGTCCTTCTAGCCCAGGAGATATGAGTCTTTTAAACTTGCCAAGTTGGGAAGCCATGGTAGCTAACCCTCTGTTACTAGCTTACCTTGATTCGAGAGTGTATACGTAACCCCAAGGTTTGCATTGGATTGCCTTCGATTTCTGGTTGGCAGACGCTCTTGAACCTTTGCGAGAGATTGAAATAATCGGTCTACAGCAGTAGCAAGGCCAGTTTACACTAACAAATTACCTACCCGACTCGGAGCGTGCGAATACTTGGGAGTATCAGCGGGGTTTCTGAAATGACTGCGAGAGTCTACGTGTAATGTAGAGGGTGGATGTGGGCGTCTGGCCTCTTCGCGCGCCGCATAGCTTCGTGCATTTTCCTGCGCTTCCTGCATGGCTACGTGCATCGCCGCCTGTGAAACAAAAGCGGTCGACTTTGTTAACTCGCCGTAGCTACGACTAGACACTACCTAAAGCAGGCAGGATTTGACCTACTTCAATTTCACGCCTCCGTGAGGCCTCCGCTGCCTGCTCACGACGCAGCCTCTCACGTTCCTCTTCAATCCTCGCCGCTTCCTCTGCCTCCTCACGGGCCTCTTGCTCCTTCTCCAGACGCCTTCGTTCTGCCTTCTCGCGTATCTGCTCTGCGTATACAGCCTTCCGAATGTAACAAAAAGTATCAGACGTGAGTGAAATTTGCGAGAATGGAATGCTAAGTAATGGACACCATCCACATCGCAAACAATCCAACGACACGTCTGACTCACATGCAGCTCCATTTGCTGTTGACGCTTTGTCATAACGTCCTGGTTTTGCTTTCCCTGAAGGTCGGCCATGCCACGACCGCGTCTGAAACTGGATTCGAGATCTCCTCTTGCAGGCGTCAAATCATGGCCACTGATGTGGCTGGCTTGGTCCCACTCTCCTCCGCCTCCTCCCCCTCCTCTTCCCTCTGCTTCAATTTTGCGAAGGTACACCGGTGTCTCAGAGCGACCTGAACTGCATGACTCATCGGCCACTTGCTTCTCCCGTTCTCGAGCTAGCCGCTTCTCCTCAATCTGACGCTCCAAATCGGCCAACCACTGTCGCCGTTGCTTCTCCTTTCATTATAAATACATGCAAGTAACATGTGAGATTGTAGAGTGAGCTTCGTTGGGTCATCAAGCACATGCACTTGGAGAAAGTCACCGATTGGCTGATCGGTGCCCTAAAGAATCTGATTGGCGACCACGCTTCTGAATGGCTACCGATTGCTTACCTAGTGACCTCCAGTTTCTGATTAGTTACCACACCGTTCCATACTCGCTTAGCAGATAAACGAGTAACACAAGTAACACTAAGACACAAATTGGATTAGAATTTCTGAAGTCAGTTAACAGTAATGGGGTAGGAGCGAGTAACATTGTTGTGAACGACACTTCAAGCCAACTTAATCGAGCCTCACCCTCAGCTCCGCTGCCATCTGCGGATCTTCGCCGATGACCAAGCCACCGGGATAGTTCCGATGCTGGAAACGGTGGTGATCGACTTCGACTGGTGGCATTGCTGGCGTGGTGGGAGTTGCGCCAGACAGGCGTGTAGCCCCATCACCACTAGTCTTCGGCTGTCGACGGTCAACGCCAACACCCATCACACCGCCGCCACCATTTGCATTCTGCAGTTTTTCAAGTTCGGCTGTATGTAGAAAGAAAAAAACGTTGAATTCTGAATACAGTTGAATCAAAAGAAAAAATTTCCTGACGGTGCTCGAAATCGCTGGCAAGTGTGACCGACCGCGCTGCTATTGGTGATGAGAAGCGGTGTTTGGTGGTCAGACGGAGATAAGCAAACAGGAGTCTCTGATATGCGTGTGCAATGTGACTGTGAGGGCAACGCCGATCAAATTGGCGTCAAAACGAAGACGAAAGAGATTAGTACGTTCGGTTGGAGGCTTGCTAAGACCTTTACTCACGACGGTGGACAAATTCAAGTCCAGGAAATGCACAATCGCCTAAATGGCTTATTTTTACGATATGAATTTAAAGCAGCAAATAATCAATTCTACCAATGATTAGAACTATGATGAGAGTTCGTAATGTTGCGTGTGGCGGTCTTGAGATGCAAGCATTTTAGAAAGTCACTGGGATTATAGGAAATAAATTCTAAAAGAGAAACCACAGATTAATTCAAGGTTTGTGGAAAATAAGTGAGCAGCCACTACTTAATCACTACTATGAGTTAAAGATATAGAGGAAAATTACCTCTTTCACTTAACCACTGTTGACGTTTCCTTTCTCTAAGTGACGTGAATTCCAAAGAGGGTGCACGTTGTTCGACTTGGTCTTTTTCATCATTTTCTTCTGCGTGATTGTTCGCATCGACTTTGCACGCGTCTTCGTTGTCTACGTTGTGTGCCCTTCCCTCATCCAGCAGCTGGTCTTCCTGATTCTTTTTAACTTGCGTTGGAGATGAGGCGTTACTTCCTAAAAATATACCATTTGCGTGATAATAGAGTAGAGATCTTAAAGAAACTGTGTCCTGATTAATCGATTGCAAGTTGCTAAAATCCGGAACACCATTTTGTGAATAACTGTATCAGATAGGGTCTCAATATAATTTGTTTACTAGCTGATGTTCTATCGATGTTATGTAGCGTCCATTTTAAAAATGCTTTCATTTACTGTACAGGCATTCGAAACGTACTCTTTAAGCACTGATTTGTTACTAGGTAGAATGATGCAATAAGATCCACAAGCTGGGACTCGGACAGTTTGTCTTTGTTCAGTTCAATAAGTTTGCGAACGGCTTCGTCCACTGTTGCTTCATTGAATGTTTGAGAAGTTTTTGACGGCTCCGCGGAGACGTCTTTTTGCGGCGAAACAGTGACACTTGATGCCTGTAAAACAAAAATGCAACATGCAAAATATCTTTGTGGCGCAACACGTAGAATAATAACGTAATTAAAATTCATCTGACTTGTCTAAGACAAACTAAACTGAAAAGCAAACAGCTTCCAGAATTTGCGATGCGCTGGCCTCCTTATTGGGCCTTAGCTTTAAAGAAAGCTTGTCAATACAATGTAATGACCAGGGCCAAAAATTGTAATGACGGTCACCTGATTTGAGTTGCTTAAAATTTCAGACAATTTTTGTTGTGATATAAGGCCAGCATTAGCTCCAATCGGGACACTTTTACGTGTATTCTTTGATGCCTTATTTCTAGTGCGTTCCTGACGTGCCCGGGAATCAACTGCAGCACGTAAACCTTGAGACTTCGTATTCATTCAAAAAGGAAAATTTGGCTCCTCCCAAAATGATCGTCCTCGATTTTCGTTTTCTCATTGGCCAGTTAGTAGAGAGTGCGCCCTTGGTTACATAGAGACGGCCTTACGATGACAAGGTCAAATAATATCTAAGGACGACTAATGGAACTAAGTGAAAAAAGTTTCAATTTAAAAGCAGAATGTGTTATTAATAGTTAAAAATAAATGCGCTGTCTATAGAGTATATAAGTTTTTTTTCAAAAATATACATTTTAGATAAGACAGGATATCATTTTCTCTTTCCACGGCCATCAAAATACTAATCAGAGTGAAATTGAACGACTCCTTTTTTCATTCGAAATTGACTTTGTATAAAATCCATGGAAATATTTGATTATTTAATTCAGCATTATGACATAATAGCTACCTTTGTTTGGCTTCAATTTACTGGCAATATTCTAGAACATGTCATCATAAAAACTTGCTTTAAAAATTCTTTCCCTTAGTTTATAACTTTTACCAACTCTCCGATCATTTTGACGAATTACGCACTAAGGTCTTTGCAAAAAAGATTTACAACTTTGCATGCCAGGAAGCCTAATCCACATAAATTTTCATCTGCATGTTTTTGTTTAATACAGCATATTTTTAGGAATCGGGTTTTTTCCTACCAACCCTATATCCTCTTTTAAGTTGCAAAACAGACACTTACATAGCCTTTGTGTCTCTCTTTTTAACATTTTAACGGATGATCGAGTTGCTTAATTGCGTTATCGGGTACTTATATTTCATCGCTTTCCTCCTTTGCTATTAATATCATTTTCAGACCACAGAAAGTTAACATTGACCGTTGAAATTCCTCGTAATCCTCAGAATATGGCATTTTTAATATTAAATATGATTTTACAATTTGTTCTTTAATACTGACTGCAAAAAAAAACATATTTCTAATTGCTACTCGGTAATTTTGAAAGCTCTAAGCTTAACTCCTGTTTTAAAGCTCATTTATGGATTAAAGTACTCTTTATTTCAGGGCATAAGGAAAAAAATTGGCCAGGCAATTTGTTTAAAAAAACATTTGCTCTCGTTTGGAAAAAAATATTAGCTAATTTGAAAGGTAGGAATGTGGATACACATATCAAATAGAAATTAACACACATTCGGCTTAAGATGTTGCGGTATTAACATTTCTGAAGCATGTTTTTCCCAATTTTCGAGGGTAGCTACGATGCACCAGATTTGGCCAATTACAGTTAGCCATCGAATTTCCTCCTTCGTGACCATATCTTCAACGATTCCTTGATCAAATGCCTTAGTTTCCAGAATTTAAATTGCTGCTAAATAGGAAGACTTTATCGAAGGTAAATAAGAGCTTAGTAGCATTAAACGACGGCTTTTCGGACGTAAATGTTAACGTGATGGTGCAATGTCGGGGCTACGCGCGCCTAACCAGCCTCCGGAAATTTTCCCGAGTTGCTTC